ACTTTTACAGAGTTTTCAATTCAAGTTCATGTGATAGCTGTAAAATATTTCTCGCTGTTAACACGATACGTTCTTTATGAAGATGAAAAATTAATAAAAACAATACCATTTTTCATTTTTTGTTTAAATTTATTTATTTTAAATATTTTTTTAATTTCCATTCCATTCTACAATTTAAACCTCTTTCCCTTACTTCCTCTCAAGTACTTATTAAGACCTATGAGACCTGACCTCTTTAAGTGATTACAAAAAAAAGTGCTTTTAAAGAGTTTTAAATTAAAATATTTGAAAGCTGGAGAAAAAAATTTTATCGGTAAATTCACTTAAAATCTTGATAAAATATAAAAAAAAAATCATTCTTACGTTTTTGTTAATTTTATTTGCTTATAAATTTTTTTTTCTTAATTTACTATCACTCATTTTATATTTTACTCCGACGAGGAATATTTATCGTTTATTTTTTTTCTTAAAAAAGTTATATTGCAAATAAGAATTACTTTTCACTGAGTTACGTGAAATATGAATTTTTTTTCCACTGTAAATAGTTTTGCTTTATGGTTAAAATATGACGAAAACAACTTACACTGTGAGACATTGTTGCATTGCAAAGAATGTATTTATACCGAATTCTAAATTCAAATTCATGCACCTCTTTCATTTTGTATGATTTTACTTCTTAGACATTCACACTTCTTTTACATTCTTGCTAATTTGATTCCTCAGTAGACATTTTTCTTTTTTTTTAAAATTTATTCTACTGTTTTTAAAATTGCAACTGATGAAAATTATTTTTTAACTTTGAGACATTGTTGCATTACAAAGAAGGTACTTTTACAGAATTCTAAATTCAAATTCATGTGAAAGCTTAAATATTTGCTTCATGATAAATACTTTTCTTTACTATGAAGGCAGAACAGCAAGAACAATACTTCTTCCATTTTCTTTTATTTTACTTTCATGCCATTTCAGAATATTTTTTAAAATTTATTCTTGAAATTGACTGTGATGAAAAATATTTTTCACTTTGAGACATTGTTGCATTGCAAAGAAGGTACTTTTACGGAATTCTAAATTCAAATTTTATGCCAAGAGATAGAAAAATATTACAAACAGAATATATAGAACTAATTTTCATTGCGTTTCAATTGACTTTTTAACTGAGATAAATTTTTTTCTGAAATTTATGTATTTTTTCAATACTTCTATCAAATAACATAGGCTCAAAAACGTTTAAATGTGATAAATTTGAAATGAGTTATAAATTAAATAATAAACGTCACACTATCTACTTCAGTAATATTTTGTGCTCATACTAAATACAAATATTTTGCTAAATTATTTTCATAAAATTTATAAATTCATTTCTTGTTTTAACCTGTAGGATTTAACTTTTAAATAGTTGGAGTTGAGCAAATTTTTTTCAAACTCCTACTTAAATTTCTTCAACTCCATTGCCTCTATATAAAATATTTTAATATGACGATAGCAAATAGGTCGAAACACATTCTTTAAATTAACGCCATGCAACAAAAGAACCCTATTAAAATGATTTACATAATAGATTCTGAATCAATCAGTAGAAACGATCGTTTTTCATAAGGCAGTGGTGGTAAAGATAACTTTACGAAACCTACATTTTCCCTTAAAAGAATTCTTCTGAAGTAATATATAAATCTCAAACTTGATAATCTAATTACGGTGTAGGCTACCCTAGTCAGGAAAGGGTACAATGATCTGAAAAGGGGGGGGGGGGAGCTGATCGAAAAAGGCTAACTCTCCATCCCTCTGTGTCAAAAACACATTCAAACCCATACAAACTGGGGGTGTCCATTTGTTAAATATTCAGTTTCCGCTCGATTTGGGACATTGTGTTGGAAAACCTGCTCCAGTCAGAATGATATGTGGGACATTATACTACTCTACCAGAAGAAATCGCCTCCTTTCCCCTTCAATGACGATGAAAAAGTTTAAAAAAATTCCTTAACTATAGAGTGCAGCGCATATCACTATCGTATTTAGGACATTTTTGTGTCAATTAAGGTAATCCATCTTTAAATGCAACACTCAAGGTACCTAAATGTGACATTGCATTTTTACAGCGTTTTTATTAACTTGCTTTTACGTCTCTAACAATGAAATCCAGCTGTAGACATTTCTAACCCTTTCTGACTAGCTAAAATATAAGCTTAAATACTACCCGAAGACAATACAAGTTTAAATCGTTTCATGAAGCATTATTTATCGCCATTTTCTAGCGAAATTGATTTCGTTAATATCGCGAATTAATTGAAGCAGGCGATATATTAAGTTAAGAAATCCGACACAAAAAAGTACTTTCTCAAAATAAACATACCTTTTTTCTACGGATTCGGATTTCCGACTCCTAAAATATAAGGCCCCATTCTGGGAGTTGTTCAACAGTTTAGTCAGGAGAGGGCACCAAAGTTTACACCTCTTAATGTTAATTTTACTTTTTCGTATTTCGCTTTACCGTGAGAAATTTTCAAGCGAATTGTAAAATTCGTTTATTTAAAAATAATTCCACGCGAAAAATAACTTTTTGGAAATATTCATTATTTTTTATTATTGAAAAATTTGAATTGTAAGGTATACAATTTTTGCATCATTTAAAATAATATAATTTTACATGATAAAATACGAAATTTGAGTAAGATCGTTTGATTAGTTCCTGTGAAATTAAAATTAAAAAAAGCCAGATATTTAAAATTCGATTTCTCAAGATCTATTTAACTGATTTTGCTCAAATTTTGTATTGTATCATGTAAAATTATATTATTTTAAATGATGCTAAGAATTTTGTACACCTTACAATGAAAAAATTTTTAAACCATAATTAAATGAAATAATAAAAAATTGTAAATATTTGCTAAAATTTATTTTTTGCTTGGAATTATCCTTGGATAAACGACCACATTTTTCTTAGGATTTTTTCGCACTGTACATACATATAAATTATGTATGCTTACGTAATACGTACAAATAATGTATGGGTATAAATACGTACATATAATGTAACTACAAATATTGAAAGTATATACGTACACAAATATTTGTATTTTCTGTACATAGTTCATGCAAACCCTGCATGCACATACATGTAGTCTGTATGTAAATTTATATCGATTTGTATGTATGTACATAAAATGTATGCTCATACATTATATGCATACATACATTGTATGTGTATACGTACTGACATACATTTTATGCACTTACATACACTTATTGTTACATATATTCATATCTATATTGCACGAAAACTTTGCATGTACATACATTGTAAATCTTATTGTAATTGAATTTGTACTTTAATTACAAATGGCTTGTACTAAATATTTATTGTACTCACTATTATTTGTAATTGTTAATTTATATCAACTTATCGTAATAATTTGTTATCGTATGTTTGATAGCTTGCAATCATGATTACATGTAATCATGATAACATGATTACTTGTTACCACATCTTTTGATTAATTGTAATCATGACAAAATGTTTTCATAAAATCTTAAATTTTGATCACATGTAACTATAATTAATCTGCAATCGTATCCCGTTCACACAACATTTAGTCAACACTACATGTAATCACGTATCATGGTTACTTGTAATTTACTTGTAATTGCAATGGCAAGTAATTGAGATTTAAAATTATTAAGAATTTCAAATGAGGGCAATTAAGACCCAAAATTGGTATCTAAGTGGGACGGTTATGTTACAAGCCCTCTAAATTTAATACAAAGTGGTCCCTATGTGGTAGCTCAATGAAGTATCACCTGCCATTTCAGGGTCTCATTTAGAACATGTTGGAGGAGAGATGAAATTGCTGGTTGAAAAAGATTTTAAACGCGAATCTTCCAGAGATACAAAATTTCCATTCTGTCGCAAAAATTTATATCGAATTAAAAATTGAAGTAGTTGAACATTGTTGCCCTTAGGAACCTTTAGCATCTTTGTTATCAGAAATATTTAAATGATAAAAACATAATACGTTATCAAAATCACCATTGTGGGTAATCACATAAAATTTATAAAAGTAGTCATCATATGAAGAGGAAACACAAAAGGAGGAAAAACTTTCATCATCAGAGGTAAAAATTAAGTTATTTTAAGTTTATTATTTTATAGCTGTGGGTTTTAATCTGCAATGAATATTTGCTTGGCTCCTTCCCCATATAACATTCAAATATTCCATCGTGATAACTACAGAGTGTTCTATAATGACCACCTTTAATATCGATTTTTGGGATCATTTTTCGTTTTGTTCATTTTTTAGACGATTTCAAGAGCATTTATTGTTAATGTACAAAATATTTTCAAAAAATGACAACTAAAATTTTAATTGGTAAAACTTCAAAGTTTTAGTATTTTCAAGCCGCACAGGCAACCTGGTAGTAAAGTCTAGCGTACAACGGTTTAGATCGGGGTTTGATTCCCCGTGATAAAAAGTGGATGTTTTGCCTTTTCTCTGCTCGTATCTTTATGCTACAGAATTCACACTAATTGATTGACGAACGGTTGGGAAGCATGGCGAGGAGGCCGTGTGATTACTGCCACTATTTACTCTCTATTGTGGTAGTGTACAGTGCACGCATGCGCCAGATTTATCACCGTGTCATATATAAAGACGAATCGCCATTAGCCTGTTAATGTAGCTATGGTATAATAAAACTAAACCAATAAAACCAGTTTTTTTTAAGTATCAATTTACATAATGAATATCACTTAACATGTTTAAAGTATCACTTAAACATAAATCCCTAAAATCTACATTTGCGTGATCCGTGATTGAGATCTTTGGTCGACTTTTTTTTCTTCTCCAGACCACCGCCTGTTCGGCATAAAATTTGCTAAAATGTCTGGTATTTCTTAAAGTTGTTATCTATGAAATCACATGTAACTCAAACAATGATTTGTATAGTGTATCATTCGATTTAAATAACATATGTTCCACTAAATAATTGTATTTTTTTCCCAGGTTCCGAGCTTGTCTTAAGCTGTCGGGTACAGCGGCTGGCAACATGGTGGGCAAACTTTTCTTCAACGTCGTGCAGACAAAGTGCTTCCTTTTCAAGCATGTCCAGAAGTGTGCCAAGAGATCCTGGTGGGGCAAGTGTCTGAAGCACGACAAGGAGAAGACAGCCGTACTCAGAGACGCTCTCAAATACTGATGATTGTTTCCTACTCCCAACCATTGAGTACTCTCTCCGGGAATACAATCCATCCTGTGTTTTAGACACTATTTCATTCTCTCGTTGCACAAATCTCGTAGTCTCGGAAATGAGAGAGGCAAAATATTCCTTACGTGTAGATATAATGTGATTCTCTGAATCCATATTTCAAAAATGGCGCAACCATCAATGTTCTGTGAATATACCTCAAACCAACTTTAGCTCTACGTCGGACGCACGTGATTTACCATATAAAAGAAAAGTTTATGGTAAGAAAATGATAAGACACATACTTTTACCTATATGTTTTACTATCTTGGTTTAGGCCAGTGTAACAAAAGCCACTGCGAAAATAATTCACTTAATTACTTAAAGATGACACCACACGCTCAGTGCAAAATGGCAAGACATTTCAAAATGGCCACAACAACTAAACCCTAAGGTAAATAATTTACCTAATTATAATAGTTTTAAACTAATCAACAGTGAAACCGTATAGATAACTTCTATAATATAGCAAACATGCATAATAATAATTCGAAAACAATACGTTTAACAAAAGATACTGTTTCAACTGGGTCCTAAAGTATTAAATAGATGATGAATACAATTTCATGCATATATTTTTCTTGAATATGTCAGGAAGAATAACGAAAATAAGAAGAAACATCAATAAATATATTTACCAACTTCTTCAATTTTTCAAAACTTAGAAACACACTATCTTTTACTTTTAAGTTTAGCATACCACTTTTTGTGGCTTATCATTGTTTTATAAGTTCATCCGGACTTTTATTTAGAAAATATTAAAAATACTAAAAATCATTCTTATTCTTAAAATCCAAGGAAATACAATTTTATATAGCTAAAAAGCAACTTGCCTCAGTGGGATCAGGGTGGTAAACTTAGTGCCGGATATATTCGTCAGATGGCAGAACTGTATCTTTTAATAAATTTCATAAGTATTACAATTATTATCCTTTTCTACCTCTACCCATCATGTATTTCCATAAAAATTCGAGTAATACTTTTATGGATGGTCTATCGATTGTAAGCAATAACAAGCTTCCTAAAACCAAAACAAATTAAGAAAACTTCCGGTGTATCACTCCTCAGCTTATGTTGTGCTTACGAGGCGATGAGTTAATATTCTAGTGAGTTTCATGTTTAAATTTACGCTTAATTTTACCATTCATAAGAGTTTTATGTCATTTCTAACAGGTCGCGCGCCTGAAACAGAATTAATACCACAGCAGAAAAGAAGGTTAGGTTAAGCCATGTTATCCTTCGTTTGGCTATATTTGTGTAAAATAGCGTTTTTTTTTTTTTTTTTTTTTTTTTGGTCAGCATCAATAGCAAAGCTTGCGAAATCTTCCGAATTCATTTGTTGTTTGTTTCGTTGAAAGTTAGATTGAAAGAAGGCGCTATATTCGTAAACACTACAATAATAATATTGGATGGTGTGTTTTTACAAGCTTAGGCTTAAAATCAGACGAAAGTAGGGAAATCTTACGACGAATTTTAACCCCTAGCGCCATCTGCGCGTAACTCTACACGGACAACCATCCATACAAAATAATATTAAAGCCAAAATAACAACTTAAAAAGAAATGTGAAATTTTATATTAATAAATTAACAAATATGGCAACACAAGACAAGTGATAAGAAAGGGGAGGCAAATGCGGAACATTTCTTGAATAAGTATAAATAAAAGCATCGCTTAAAAAATATACAAATTAGCTAAAAAATATACGCTTAAAAATAGATACAAATTATCGGGTCATCACTTTCAATGTGTGTAATTGTTACCGCGAATGACTGAAATCAGGAAAATGTCGACTTTCACCGGTGAATGTCAACAATCACATAGTCGCATTAGTGAATATCCAAAATATTTGTTACATCCGATTTGATATTAATTTATTCGTTGATATTAGTATTACAGTTATTTGATATTTTATTATTTTCTGAGGATAGATTAGGAGAAGCATCAGCGTTCGGAGTACGGGTTAAAGGCATACTGGGCACTTGACCTTAAAAAACATTGATGTAGGGCATACCGGGCAGTGGCACTGAACCTTAAAATAGCATTAATGTAGGGTATTCCAGGCAAGTGTATACCGGACAGTGGCACTTAACTTGACCTAGTACAGTAGGGAACTGATTATCCGGAACGATCAGGACCTTCGTCATTCCGGATAACTGATTTTTCCGGTTTTCTGAATCGCTACAAAAAACCGTTTTTTCTATTGTTAAACCCAACTAAAGAAAAGAAAAAAATTTGGAAATAATCTTAAACAGAAAAAAAAACCGATGAAGTAATGCACCAATGATTATTTCCAAAATGATGGTAATGTAAACATCTTTCAAAAAAGAATGAAAAATCCTAAAATCTTATAAGGAGAAAAAAAATTTTAAAAATGGCGGGAAAATTTATCGAATTTTGTTCCGGCTTTTGGGTTTTCCGGTTTTCTGATTTCCGGATAACGGGTTCCGTACTGTATATATGTTTCTGACATTTACCGAAGCGACTACGTGATTGTCAACAACCACCCATTTCTGTCGTAGTAACATACTAAAGTATAGTCTTGTCATGGTGAACACAACGTTGCGCGCTCGAAACTGAGTTGATTTTAATAAAATAATGAAATTAAATTATAATTTGGAATTATCATGGTTTCTATTTGTGATAAAAGTAGGAGTATATTAAGGTTGCGTCATTTTTAATCACTCTTGTACAATTCTTATTTCTGTGTGGGCGAATTTGCAGCTTCGCCAAATTTTTCTAGCGAGCAGTAACCCTACTTTCAGTATTATCCGACCAGAAATAAAAAATCAGAATAATTATGCACTTCTGTCCTATTTTAATGAATCAACAAATTACTGTAATCCAAATTATTATCATTCAATTACTATAAAAAAATTCAAATTTCTATTAACAAATTACTATTATCCAATCAGCTAACTGTCTACAACTAAGAACTCACAAATATGACATTAAAATGTTTCAAAAATCATATGCAAATATTTTTTGCTAAAACAAACTTCTTCATCAAAATGTTTTTAAAAAAATCGCAATAATTTTATGAAAACTTACTAAACCAACATATTTCGACAAAAATATACATTTTTAACTATATTTAAATTCGATTCAAAAAATCTTCCTCCTCCATTTAGATATGTTTTTATTTTAATTAAATATGTTATGAGCAAAACAAAAGTGAATACTAGGGCTTTTTTAATTTCTTAGATCACGTACATATATGTGTACATTAGTATTTTGATAAATCTTCAAGTCAAGAAAAAAAATTAGTTAATTATAGCGTTAGATTAAAAAAAAAAAATGCAACTTCTGCGCCCATTTCATGAATCGGAGTTGATTAATTACAGCTAATTGCAAACATTGCCTATAATTATTTATTATAAAAAATTATTAACAGTAAAATCAAACTATAATTTTTTTATTAACATAATTTCCAGGGGGTTACAAGTGCCCCTTTCGATCCCCTGCATGCGGCCATGAGGATCTTTATTTAGCCGATTAAATAACTCCTTACAATACATTTGCATTTGTTATTTCAGCATTAAGAAACAGAAATATAATATTTAATGCAAGATAAGATAATGCTTTAAAATTTCAACACAATTTTCTGATCTCACTAAAAAGCACAACATTCAGACTCAGGTACACTGATAAAAATTCTGAGCCACATTGCACCAAAAATTGGTATTCATTTGCTGGCTACATGAAATGGAGCTCTCTCAATTTTACCCTATTTTGGTACTTTCACTAGATCAAAGTATCAGAAGTTTGCACCTTTATTAGGTATTTTCAAAGAGCTCCACTGCAAGGCAAGGTTGTTATTTACCGTAAGTAGGTTACTTTGACATACACCGAAGAGCCATTACATTATGACCACCCTGCTAATGACATGTAGGACCACCTTTAGCTCTCAAAACTGCTAGCTCCCGCAGTGGCATTGATTCCACTGCTGATAGGTAGTCTCAGGTATCTGGTACCAAGAGCTCACCAGCTGGTCCTGCAATTCCCTCACATTGCGAGGGGGTAGCGTGGCAGCACGAATTTGGTTTTCCAAGTAGGACCACAAATGCTCTATTGGATTAAGGTCAGGTGAATTTGGGGGACAAGACATGACTTGAAAGTCACTAGAATGTTCCTCGAACCAATCCGTGACGATTCGACCCTTATGACATGGTGCATTATCCTGTTGGTAAACACCATCCCCCGCAGGAAAAACTGTTGCCACGAATGGGTGAACCTGGTCTGCAACTATGTTCAAGTAGCTTACAGACGTCAGGGATTGTTCTATGAGGATTATGGGTTCTAATGTGCCCCATGAAAACATTGTTCCTGGGTGAAACCATGAAAACCTGGGCGAGCCCATTGTTAGATGGAGGGTGGTCATAATGTAATGGCTCTACGGTGTACACCTGACCCTTTCATACCGCCAACCAAATTTAAAAGAAATGAACTTTAATTAATGTAAATAAAACTTTTACCTATCTAATTAAGTTGATATTTGAAGCAACCAGCATGAGTCGACCCGATTCACCGAGGCCGAGTTGTAACGAAAACATGGCGTCGTAACCAAATATCGTTTAGTTCCCCCTCACCGTCAAAGTTTTACGTATTTTACCTAATTTTGGTGCTGTCAGTTACACCATGGAAGTATTTCTAGATCATACTTCACAATTTATGGTCTAACTAAAATAAAAGGATCGTTAATTTAACTGAACATTGGGATAATGAGCACCAAATATTGGTTTAAGATTTGCCGAGAGTTTTTACAGCGTAACCCAGGGAAAGAGATTTTTTTGTTGTTGCCTTTATGCAATTACTTGATCTTGTCTAAATCGTGTAAGGGGATTTCAAATCTGAAATTAGCTATCGACAGATTTATTTAAAATTCTATTTTAGTTCAAGTTATTTTTTGTCTTGAGTGTAAGAGTTTATAAGGAATGTATAGGCTTATATACATGCATATGGGTGATTCTCACGAAACATGACAATTCGGACCAAAAATTTCTTCAAATTTAAAGTCTTCAAAATAATCTAAATTTTTTTTTTGTATACTTCTTTAGCTACACTTATTAATATCTTATAAACAGCAGTGTAGTTTATTGACATTTTCTCGAGAAAAAAATTAAATAGAAATTCACCAAATCTTGAATGCCCGGAAAATGACATATTACCTTAGAAGCTTTACAGTCATTTTAAGTTAATAGTAAGTAACTCAACTTAAGCCTTTATGTTAGATGGACCATAAATTGCTTAAATTAATTCTTTTTATCCACTGTAGAAAGAAACAAAAAAAAATTTTGTTGATGATAGGTACAGAATAAAATTGTGTATAATAATCAACTATTAAATAAATAAATAATAAATAAATAACATCCAAGCATATTACAATCATGCATAAACTTGGTATTAGGTTAATATTTGCTTTCTCTCTTTACAGTATTAGCAGTTAAAAAGAATTTCTGGTAACACTTCAATGTCCTGGCATTCATAAGCCAGGAAAATGACAGCCAGGATAATGACAAATTCGCCATTTTATAGCATATAACTTTACTTTAATTTAATATTTTGGCCGAAGACGTTTATATTCTGCAGAAAACAACAGTATTTCTTAAAATAACTCAGATGAATCTATGTAGTTTTTGTTATTAATGATTTCAGGAAGCCAGGAAAATGACAGCATAAAAACCTACTCACCTTGAAAAATTTTTTTGGATTAGATTTTGAGCCAGAAAATTGGTTCTTTTATTCATGCAAGAAGACATGTTCAGATAGGAGGGTATCTAATCAATCTATTAACATAAGATATTGATTCCTGGAGCTATCTATTTTGGTTATAAATCACTAAATAAAAGTAGCCAGGAAAATGACAGATTTTCATGGGACAAACAAATTATTGTCAGAAAAAATTATTTTAAACGAAGTTTTAGTAAACAATACCCTCTGCGTATATTCTAGAAATGCTTACATAGGATAAGATAAAAAAAAATTAGATTTTGAAAAATGTATGGAAGTTTTGAAGCTAGTTATTATCGGAAATATTGTTTGGGACATGCCAGGAAAATGACATTTTGATATTCAATTAAATTTTTTAAGTATACAAAACAGTCAATGCTAGTGCAAAGTCATTTTAAAATGCTAACGGCAATGCTATTTATTAATTTTTTTTTTTTAAAGTTCTTTTAGTATTACAGTATTAGATCGTGGGGCAAGGGACAGTAAATTGTCATGTTTCGTGAGAATCACCCATATACACTTGTCTGCTTCTTTAAAAACCTC